ACGCATTCTTTTCTCTACCCCCTCCAAGTACTTGATTGTTTCCTCTTCCAAACCTTCTAGCGAGATCCCCAGAAATTTTCCCAATCCCATCAACTTAGAAGAAACCCATGAAGAATCAGAAGCACTTTCAAGCTGCTCCCCTACCAGATTCAGTTGATCCAATAACAAATTGCTGATCTTCTGAGGCAGCACCCCTATCAGTTACACTGAAAGAGCTACCTTCCACCTGTGACTCAGCACTCTCAAGACACCACCACCTAACACTTGAGAACCTGCAGCCACCATCACTAACGGATCCACCTCCAACAGCTCATCTTCCTTTCTCAACACCACAAGCTGGTTGGACTTTTAACTGAACCTCGTCTTCCAAAGCAATCGATTGGGACGGCAAAGACTTCACAACCCTTGGGCCGGTGTCCAAAATTCCCCCTCCACCCTTCTTCTCCCTACGTGAAGCAATCCCCCTTCGATCCTGAGAATCCCGAGGCTCCCTAGTACCCACACCCTGATGACAACATCCAACCGGAAGAGTAACTTCTGGAAACATATTCTCCCATCTAGCAGAGGGGGGACTGGGCTCATTAAAATCATTGAGCCCAGGCCCAGTTTCTAGGTTGAAAGGTTGATGAGCCGGTTGGGCTGGGTAAAGTGCTCCAGGCCCAGAATCTTCATCCAAAGTATCATGGGCCCCCTGAGACTCAATTAGGGGAGGCTGGAAGACCTTCTGATGACTCACTGGCACAGGATCTTCCCTAGGTGCCAACTGGAGCTCAACAAGACACTCTCTAACTAAGTCTTTAATGGCTTCAGCTCCCAAAACCTGCCCGCTGCCCCCCAGATTTAAATTTCGAATCTCCTTCACAGTTGGACCCTGGGTGAGCCCATCTGGACCATTCAAAGTCGCCAAGATCGGACGGCTCAAAGGATCCCCCAAACCTGCGTCATCTTCTATATCATCGGCCACCGGAGAAGCACCTCCCGTCACAGTCTTCTTGTATCGCACTGCTTCAGAAAAACAGGGGAGCTCACTTTCGCCACAATCTTCCAGGACCAAGGTTTTGGAGCAGTTTGAACACTCCTTGTCTTCCTTCTGGACATCGCAGGACGGCTCTTCTCCACCTCTCCATCTTCGAACAGACGGCAGAACTTCTTGCAAGATCTGAATAGTGAAGACCACTTCCCCCGCCACCACTTCAACCTTGTTCGGGATTTGGTTCCCCCTGCGGATCTTCATTCTTACCCACTCACAGGTCGCAATCTCCAACAGGGAATCATCCGTCTCTATGAAACCCCCGCAAGCATCCCCTATAGCCCTAATGACACTTAGGCACCAGAGCAAGAGTGGAAGGCCGAAAACCCTAATCCAGCACGACTCCAGATCCTCTCCAACTTCGAAAGGGTCAGGGTAATGACATCCCGCACTCGCCCCCCACCAGTCCAGCAAAAGGGGATTCCTCCCCAACTGCCAAGGACCTTGCCTTAGAACCCATTCCACACCAGTTCTTGGCAGACAGATAAAGAGAAAAAGTCCATCCGCCATTTTCTTCACTCTCACACCCCCCACCTCCCTCCAGAAACTGTTTGCCCACCTCTCTACCTCCCTAATCTCCTCCCCCCAACGGAACCTGCCCACCAAGCAGTTCCTCAAAAACTCTTCTCACATTCACCCCTCGAGGATCCGTAGCAACCACCCTTTTACCATTAACCCACTTCACCTCCGACCCCCCACGAGCAGGCCAAATTCCCGCAGCCACCACTTCACTGTAAGAAAGATTGCACCTAGCCCTTCCTTCCATCTCTAGTCTGCAGTACCAGTTGGAGGCTTCCCATCTTCGCTTCCCTCCACCTGATCTACTGTAAGAGACTCTACGCTCCATCAAAACTTCAGATAAAATACCCTTCACCGTCAAGACAACATGATCCCTGCTACGATTTCCACCGCTGGAAAAAGATCGCCACCGAGGTATGCTATGCTGGTCAGGTTTTTTTTTCCGGTTTTGGGTTTCTGGGTCAAAGGTGGGGAGTTTTTTGTTTGTTTTTCTGGTTTCTGGGGAGAAGAATATAATAAAATGCAAATACTTAAATTAACTATGGAAGAAATACTTTGTATCCAAATTGCATAAAGAAATTATAAATAAATACCTAAATCATTTGTACTACCATAGTTTTACATCAGTGCAAATTTATTTGTACTGCAACCTAAAGGAATGAATGTTCTTTCGGGAGTGGAAGTAGTGATTACTTATAAAGAGTATTTTCTACTGGAAAACAAATATCCTCACCGTCATTTCAATATTTCCTTTTATATGCATCAAGAAGCCCTATGGAATATAACTTAGTTTTTAATAAGATAATAATCACAAAGGATTTAAACAGAAAAAAAAGGATAGATAACCACCTTCCCTCTCTGCTTATATCCAAAGATAAGGTCTATCCAGTGATGAAGATTTTCTGAAACATAATCTGATTCCAAAGCTTGCCGGTGCTTCCTGATGAACTCTCTGGCACTACCTTTGGCCCATGGGGGCAATACAACATCACCAACCTGAGCAAACATATGAATCTCAGAGAATGAAAAATTGTTGGGATTTTGTAAGCAATGGTGCCTTTTTAACTGCACATTGCAGAGATGTCAATAAGGTGTCAAACTTAATCATGAATTAACAGGCCGAACTAACCTTCTCTCCTGACTGTTTCTCCCCCAAATTAAGATTAAACTGATTTTCCAGGAATTCTGGCAAGTAAAAAAATTCTGGAATCAGTTCTTTCACGTCTGATGTGTTACCCTTCCCTGCTGCACTTAGCCATGTGTCCCTTACACTATTAAAAAGACGGTCTGCATGGTCAAACTGACCTCCTTGTAGTTTCTGATTCTCTGTACTGAATGGTGGAAGACGCAAAAGATAGAAAAGCACAATTCCAGCACTGGAATAATGTGAACCATAGTGAAACTTTGGAACATCCGGGTCATCCCAGCTCTCATATCTAAGATAGAGAAGGAAAAGACAAAAGAATATTAAGATAGTCTCATCATAAGTTAATGTGAAATGGAGATCTCACACAATGCCAGTAAAACAACTAATAAATGCTCAACTCAACATGGTGGATATATATTATAGCCAACCTTTTCTTGAATTCTTCCTCCCCCTCAGCTGTTTGGCATCCCATTGGCTTGTCAAGTTTACGGAATGTTTTGGGATCATCCAAGTTCAAAGTTTCACTCGCATAATCTGCAAGAACCCATGGGAACACTGGATACTGTGTAAGATCACTATATCCACGTCCTGCTAGAGTGTTGAGGTACATGAGGTATTGGAAATTGCTAATTTCGCCATTCTGCCACCTCTTTGAGAAGGACTTCGCCATAACCTTGAAAAGACGACTTCCCTCATTCCCTTCTTGTTTTGATGACCCTGAAATAGTTGTGTCTAGCCTGTTCCACATGGTATTATGAACATATTACAACCTTATGTACCACAATCAAAAAGGTATTAGAAGAAAAACATGCAAGGAAGACAGAGAACGAAATAGAATCAGAAGAATATTAGATCACCAAGATAAAACTGCATCTCCTACAGCAAGTTCAATATACATTGCAAGAGCTGTTCATGTATATTGTGTTTAAGATGAGTAAAACTAAAAGAAAATATGTGCAATGCAAGGAGAACCATAGTATAACCAGGATTGGAGACCAAGAGATATCTCAATATGACATGCTTCATTATTTTGGTTCAATAAATGATAACAAGGGAGACATGGAGGATATTGCCTATTGAAATATAGTTTGAAAGACATATGGAGGTCATCTAGGGTGCCATGTGATAGGAGAATACCATAAGGATAACATAAAAGTATTATAAAACAGCTATAAGGCCCAATGTTAAAATCGTATCATTCATATCGAATCATCCATAAAAAGAGATGAATCGTACAAATAAATCATTTTTTTGCAAACATCGAACGATTTATGTATGAATTGTAGATTTAAATCGCAAATCGCAATTTATATGCGATTTGTACGATTATTTAAAGAGTGGTTTCAAAAATGAAAATACTGTCATAGCCCCCTTTCAATTATATGTAAAGGGGCAATTATGTCATTTTATATAAATATTAAATGGAAATTCAATAGCCCATGGAATGAAAGCTCTTTATGCTGAAAGAAAAGGTTGGGTGGGAGGAAAAACCCCTCCAGGACTGTTGCTGTGTAGCATGAAAGCTCTAAAGCTAAATCCTTTCAATTGCTGCTAGTCTGTTCAAATTAAGCATTTCCTCTAAACTGAAACCCTCTTTCCTAAAGCCCCTATTACCTGAAACCCTCTTCTTTTAATGCAAGAATGGGTGCTCTACCCCATTTATTTCTTTTATTTTTTATTTTTTTACAGAAAAGAGGGCTCCGCCCTATTATTTTCCACTTTTCTTTATATGCCAAAACAGGGACTCCACCCTTCATTTTCCCCTCTTTCTTTACTTTTTTCTCAGAAAAACTTTCTCCTATTTTCTGATGTAAAATACCATTTTTCTCCATTGTTTTTAACACAAAAACAGGGGCTCCGCCCAGCTATTTTCACTCTCCTGTTTTGATGCAAAATGGAGGTTTTCCCCATTTTTTTCCATCATTTTCGACACAAAAACAGGGTTCTGCCCTACCATTTTTCCCCCCTTTTCTTTAATTTAAATCAAGGTCTCTTTCCCATATTTTCCTATGCTTTTGTATACAAAAACAGGGGGCTTTTGCACGACTATTTTCCCCTTCTTTTTCTCTTGATGCAAAACAGGCACTCCTCATTTTTTCCATCATTTTTTACACAAAACAGGCGCTATGCCCTATCATTTTCCTCCTATGTTTTTTTATGCAAAACAGGGGCTCCACCCCAATATTTTTTCCCTTCTATTTTTCCTTGTTTTTGTATTCTTTTCCAGGAAAAAAGAGCACCTAATGTGTAATTAGATTTTAGACTTTAAAATAAAAATGTGTTCATGAATCATGATATCTTAGTTTAGACTTTAGAATTTAATTTCTTTAATTGAATATAATGTTTATCTGTAGTCTCTCACTATTGTACTGAAATGTGTAGTTTAAAATTTTAATTATTTTTCTCTTGGATTTAGGCTCCATGCAACCTAGTAGTCTCTTATGTTAATATTTTTTATGAGGCATGTTTGATTTTAACAATTGAAGCAATAGAAACTAGAGAACATTATGTTTCTTTTTTCTTTAAAAGTCTTGGGGGATAAGGATAACCAAGCAAAATGGTCCTTAATTATACTGTAGGATCAATTGAATTATGACTATTGCTGATCAAAAAACAATTGAATTATGACTATTGCTATGGTACAAAAGTAGTGTAATTGTCACTAATATTACCTATTTATATGGTCATAGTTGTCAAGGTGGCGCCTAGGAGACAAGACACCCTTTGAGGCTCGCCTCACCTAATCGCCAAGCAGTTTTTTACTTTCCATTATAAAATACTTTTTTGCTCCTTATTTTTTGAGATTATAATTATAAAATAGACATTATTAAACCAAAATAATCATTTTGTGTGCTTATATACTAATTTCTTTTTATTATTTTCTTATTTGTTAGGGTTTAATCAACACAAGCATTGCTAAATGCTGTATTGAACCCTCAAAGACTTCAAAACCTGAACCAACAAGGAAGAACTTAAAATTTTGTCTAATCAACACATTTTCTTCTTCCATGTATTCTTCTTCTTCTTCTATTACTACTGCTACCAATACTTGTTCTTTTCTTTTTTTCCCATAACAAAAATAAAGGGTTCAGCCCTTATATTTTTTTACTTTTTCTTTTCCTTCTTTTTCTTCTCATGTATATGTTGATTTTCTATACTTTAATATGAACTTTATACTTTTCTTATGAAAATTATGAATAATTATTAAGGGAATATGGTTATGGTACCTAGGGAACTACCCTATGATCTATGTTTTTTACATAAAAAATCCATCGCCTAGGTGACACCTAGGTGCCCACCTAGGTGACTAGGTGACAAGGCGCCCCCTGTCGCCTCGCCTCGCCTTGGCACCTTGAAAACTATGTATATGATATCTATAAGCTGAAAGTTAGTGAAAAAAATCATTTTTCTTCTATTTTTTGAGATGTTTAGGTATTTTTTATAGGTTTTGACAACTGTCAGAAAAAAAAAAAAAAAAAAAAAAATCTTACGATTTACGATACAATTCGATTCAAACCCCTTTAAAATTTATGATACAATTACGATTTTCAAAACATTGATAAGGCCAGCATTATTATGTGGAGTGTTAGGCAGACAAAATTTCCCTATAAAAAAATGCAGAGGGAAACTCTCCCTCTTCATTAATACTATTATAGTTTTACCTTTCAAAAAAGAACATGCCCAAAAAATTAGTGTAGCAGAAAATGCAAATGTTAAGGTGTGCAGGTGGGAAAAAACATCAGAATATTCATGAGAATTTAATAAATAGCCCCAATGGGTGATAAAATGAAGGAAAGTAGACTAAGATGGTTTGGTTATGTACACAGAAAACCATCTGTGGCACTAGTAAGAAATGATTTATTGCAAGTTGAAGGGTCTAGAGGAGCAAAAGGTAGGCCAAAAAGGATTGGTTGAAGTGTTGAAAAATGATTGGATAATTTAATAATAGATATGACACTGGCTGGAGTGTAATGGCAGAATAGAATTCATGTAGCTAACCTCATATAGCTGGGTCAAGGAGTAGTTGAGTTGACTTGGGAAAGAACTACATTTTGTGCATAGAGGTTGAGTGGAGATAGTTGTAGATCTTGTTTATGACTTACAAGCATATACATGTATTTTTCTGTATGGAGGCTGTCACACCTTTTACATATAATAGAAAATAATCCATTCTTACCTATCAAAAAAATTAAACAATTTATATCGAATGTCATGATTTATATATCGCATATCCACAGATCAAGCCATCAAAAAGCACGTAAACTGAAAAACACCAGCATGGCTTACAAGCAAATGCATATGAACTATTTACAGCAAATATGTTACTAGAAGCCAAATAGTCTCACAGATTTAGAAGTCTAGACACTGAAAATCTGGGCCAAAAATCAAAGATTGCGAAGGCATGAAAGAAACAGAATAACAGAAATAACTGAACCACAAAATTGAAAGCTTGATGTACATACATTCTGTTCCTTGGAAGATTCATGGAGATCAAATTTTTGAACACTTCCTCTCTCTCCCATTTATGGAAGACTAGAAGATCATTACATCCATCCATGCTGAATATCTCAATAGCAACAGGACGCAACTGGTAATCACGTTTCAAAAGCTCATGAACACTATTGAGCTTCCACATACGCCAAGGATGAGGCAGATTACCACTACTACACACTTTCTCCTTTCCCCAAGCACCACCATTGTATGCCCATGCTCTTCCCCCAACCCATGCCTTGACAGTTTGATTCCATGAAGAAGGTGACTTTAATTGGAAATCTGAACTCCCAGTAACATCCTTCTTCACACCCAAAGCCTGATCAATCACAGAAAGTTCATCCTCGCATTCCTTTTCACATATACAACCAGAGTTATCAATGTAGAAATTCTCAATAACATACAAACAAAGTTCCCCTATCAGAAATATACCATCATGCTTGTCAAGGCCTACAACACGCTCACAGTTATATCTGAAACGTATCTTTTCAAGAGGTTCAAGGTAAGGTCTAATTAGATATTCACCATTGTCATGCAATTCCTTATCCAATTTATCATCTGTAGCTTTTGTCTCATCAATTTTAGTGGATGTGGACTGCCTTGGAGAACCAAAATCAGATTTTCCATGAAAGCTCTCTGTTATTGGGATAGAAACAGCACTGGACTTGACACCAAACTCAAGGGCAGAGTGAAGACTTGATTCATTTATACTGCTAGCCCGGTCATCATGAAACCCAAGGACAGCAGACGTTATGTCTCCTTCTTTGGTATTGTCTGTTTCTTTGAAAAATGATTCAATGTACTCACCACCATCAAAGCACTTTTCTTTCTCACCATCAGAAGAGAGATTAAAAAATGAACCAGAATCAGTTTCATCCAGATCATTCTTAATTTTCCTTTTGGATAGCTCTGCTTCCCCCAAATCAAAGTTTTCATCAAGAACATTCTGAATTGTGTCAATTTTCATTTTGCAGCGCTCAAGTTTTTTGCGCATTCGATAAGGCCCTTCAATGGGACAAAGCTGCCATTCAGGTTCTTCAGATGAGGTAGATTTCCGCATTGGGAATACTCCTCTCTCATGTACTAGTTGTTGGAGATGAGTTTGCCATTCACTCTCAGCATGAAGAACCCAACCATATTTATCTTGGCGAACAACTCTCAGCTCAGTTGACATTGCATCACGAACCAATTCAAGTGCATAACGCCGTTCATTCACCTGTTCCCAGTGTCTTATGTCTAACTTTGATGTATCCCTTGATCTTCTTGCCATCTCTCTCTTACGACGACCCTCCATGCCTTTTATTCTCACCCCAGGGAACTTTCCTGATCCAGAAATATACTGCACCCACATAATAGTAGCACATTGTTCCAACACTTTATTGATCACATGGTCAGAATTCTGAAGCCATTGAAAGAACACTGACGAACTCCCAGTCAATAGTTTGTCAAAACCACCATGAAGGACATCAAAATTCTGTCCTTGCTTTGATTTAGATACAAGCAATTCCTCTAATGCAGCCCGACGATGCACCAGCATATATTTGAAAACATCCATGGCCATGTTGCGTACATTTTGCCTTTGTTCACGCAGAAGAGAGATTAAATTTATACAAAGACAACAATTTAGATCAGTATCAATATTGCTGGGACAGAATAGAATTCTTTTATGAGCAACTAATAACTGTAAGACTGTACATATGTCAATCCCTGACTCCTCTTGTGAAGGACTTGAGGATAAACTCTTCTTAGGTTCTAGCTGCAAGCCTAAGCATGAAAGAAGATCAACTTCCCCAATGGTCACTAAGAATGATGGCAGGAAACAGTACATTATCATACGATTCGTATTTTTAAGAAGTGCACAGATATATGTATCAAGTTGCCTGCTTGCTCTTGTGATGGATAGAAGACCTTTTCCTGTAGGCGCTGCTTCTTCAATTCGTCCATCCTTGTTAGCTAACTGTAACATGGATAGTAAGAATTCCAGGGTTCCCAATATACCACCTGGACAACGAAATGCACCCATGTACACACGATCCACTATCATCCAACATAATGTATCCAAGTTTATAGACCACCGACTTCGATCTAGCTTTTTCTCATTTTCCTCGTCATCACGCAAGAGGCGCCTTTCAAGGAAATTCATCAGTCTACTTAGGCATAGACCTTGAAAAACCAACACAGATTCTGCATCCACATACAATGGAACAGTTTCTAAAATGCTTTCTATGACCTGTGTTGCTTTCATTTGCTCTGTCACAATATCAGCAAGAACTTCTCCCATGAAATCTAAAACAGCAGTAGCTCCAGCAGAACATGGACCACCACCATAACCAGAATCATCCATTTCAAGAAGAAATTCTGGATTAACAGATAAAAACGTGTTTATGGAAGATAGTGGCTGAGAACTGGACTTCAAATCTTGAAATGCATCAAATTCACTCATGGACACAGACGATTTTATGGATGGAGTGGCAACTAATGGAGTTATTACTTCATTACTTCCTGTGCTGCCAAGCCATGATGTCAATGCAACCATTGGGGATGGAGATGGTGTGAATGGAGTAATGGGATTAGACTTCTCAGATAAAGCAGGAGAATCAGGAATAGTTAATGGATGGAGAGAATCTTGTGTCCCATTTATGCTGGGGAAATTAATTCCATTGGTGCTGGAGGTGACCATAGATATCTTGTCAAGACTTTCACCATCAAAATTATGAACAGCCATAGCATCTTCTCCCTGAAGTGGCTTGTTTGATTCCTCATGCAGTAAGATATCCTTTTCCTCTGTCTTATCACTGACCAAAAAGCTTTGGGACCCATGAGTATCTTCAGAACCTGAGCTTTCCTGCCCTGGAGGAAAACTTCCAACACTTATGGATGTTTTGGCAGACTTTTCATGTTCATGAGGCAAACTGGAGAATGTATTCTGAGAACTGTGGGTATCATCAGCATCAATTAAGTTTTTGTCTTCTGTTCCTACTGAGAGGTCCTTTGCCATCTTCACCGCACAAGCAGCTCTGCAAGGCACAAATATCTGTTGAGAGACAAGTAACTGGAAACTGTAACAAAATGACATTACATATATAACAACAAGGCACACCTTACACAAGAAAAGTACAGATCTATGCAACTTTCAAGAAATTCCGCTCGTCTACATACAGCAGAGAAAGGAGGGCACATTTTCGCCAGATCAACCATAAATCTCAGGACTGCTGTTGCAGCTGCAGGAGACGCTGCCTCTCCACCCATTAGACGTGCTGCATATGTTTTATGCATTAGAGCCTCACCCTGAAGATCTCCTGCCATATCTGTTGTTTCTTCTGCAAGCTCAGCCACAAGGCTAGCACTAACTTGTGAAAGGTTGCCCATTTGGTGAGCAGCCATTGCCTGCATGCTTAACCTATCAAATGTAGATTTTGCCATTGCAATAACAGATTCCAAAAGCTCCACAAACTTCAATTCTACAGAACTACCATCATTTGGCATAAGAGCATGGAAGTCTAACATGCGGACTTCCGGTAATCTTGGATAAACAGTCTTGCCAAATATTAGACAAAAGAGAACGTAGTATATTTCTGGGGAATCAAAGAAGCTTGGAAGTACACGCGCCAATTCACTATAACCTCCACTTGTACGAAACTTAAGTGAAAATGTAGGAGAAGAAGCAAGACAAACACCAAGAAGAGTCACGATCCATCTCATACTGGTAGGATGAACGGCTTCATCAAGAAAACATGTTATTAACTTGGATGAGACAATCTTGTGCCATTGTTCAACCAAATCTTCAGAAGTTATTGTAACTTGTAAATCAATAAGCATCTCCAGTAACATATTTCGTACAATAACATGTTTCCCCATTGACTCCCGAACAATTTGATGACGTGGTCTTAGTTCAAGGGGATCAAATGTCATAATAACAAACTTGACCACATATTCCAGTTCAGAAGCCAAAAAGCCATCCTCTAAAATAACTCCAAGCAATATAACTAGTTTCTCTAAGACAGGAACTTCCACATCACCTCTTTGCAAAGTCACTAATAAATGTTGGACAAGATTGATTCGGCGCAAGACAGTAAGATTATGATTTCTGTACCAATGCATAGATACCAGACGCTCAAGAAATCCAAGTAGAGCAATTTGAATTGGAATAGGAGATGTCACCCACAAAGTCCAATCCAGTAAGACATGTTCAACCATATCCGCATTGGACAAAACAATACAATTTGATATCTCTGTAGGCATATCTGCATTTTCAAGCTCTGAGATATGGCTGAATGAATAATCTTTTTGTCCAGAAAAATCATCCAAATCTCCATGGGATCCAACTGAGGAACCTTCATCAGAAAACCTTGATAAAGAAAGATCTTCATAGCTTGCTTCCTGAATACCTACACCCAGGGAAGCATTAAGATGATTATCTTGCAGCTTCTGTGGTTCAGAGAATGAAGCCTCACAGGCAGCAATCTGGAAAAAAATCTCAAGACACTGCATGTCAAATAATGACATTCTATGATGCAGAAAAAGAGCAAGCAAATGATATCCTCTATAGGCTTGCATATCCCACACATTCCGAGGGTTCTGATGAAGTGCACAATGAAGTAACTTTAGGGCCATGTGCAACATATCCCTAGTTTCAGCAGCTTCAACAAGGGCTAGGACAACAGCCATCCCACCAACCATTTGTATGCTATCACCAATCACACATTGCCTACAGATGTAAATATCCCCATGAAGACGACCATATCGTGGTATACCTGAAAATTACAAAGCAAATAATTTTCAGCAAATCCAATGAGTACAAAACAAAACGGTTTCAATAAGTTAACAAAATTGAGGACTTTTTAAGAAAATTTTCATGATTTTTTCTTTGGCTATTCAAATTTGAGGATTTAATCAGTAAAATGTTGAGATTTAAAAGCATACCGCCAATAGGAGAAGCAGCAGCTGACAGTGGATCAACTAGATTGACCATAGATAGAGTTCCAGCTGCTCTTGAAGTGTCTGAGGATGTTCCATCAAATGCAAATATAAGCTTCTTCCCAGAGATCTGCAGTGAGAGGTTTCCAAGTCTGTCCAAGTCCCAAACAACCCCACTACCATCCGACTTCAGGTTCCCTTGTTTGGCTGCACTGTCAAGTCTGTTCGATGCCAAAGGTGACTCATTGTCCAACGAATCCAAGATGGCCATACTACCCCCACCACAAGCCTGGTTAGGAACAAATTGCAAAAGATCCGTATCTTGGAAGAGCCCTCTATATCCTCTACCTAGAATATACATTAAGCAAATGCCACCTGACGTCAACACCTCCTCAAAAAGATAACCGCAGCGGAGCCTCCAGGAAAATTCACTAACTTTTGCACAAGTAGCTGGTGTCCCAATGGTCACTTGCAATGATTTTCCAACTGGAGATGGTGAATACCCTAGCTTTCCTGTGTGTCTTAGCTTCCCATTTATATAGACATATGCAATACTAGCTTGGAAAAGTCCAGCCAAAGCATTGGGTTTACTATGCACAACTGCAAGGTGATGCCACCTACCTTGCTCCAACTCTAACCCAGAAAAAGATAAAGAGCAGGAGTTGCTGGTTGCAAGAGTTAAAACGCCATCATCTTGAAGGTAAAGTTCTGCATAGAATGTGTTGCCATCATCCACTGCACCGACTGAAAAGATCCGTAGAACATTTCTGCTAGATTGCTGCCCACCAGAGGAACTCCTCTTTTTAGAAGGGCCACTGCGGGAAGGATTTTCTTGTTCCTTTGCCTGTACTTTCAAGAAATTCTGATGCTGAAACCAACAGACAAATGAATAACCAGCAACAGGAGGCCATGATCTTTCTCCTAAAGATACTTGAACAGAAGCATGCCCAATCTTACCCATATCCATCTCAACAAATGGTGACAAAGAAACATTTCCTGAGGCCATGTCTTCCATTTGAATTAACCTCTCCATCATTTCAACAAGAATATTACCTGAACTCATCATCTTGCTTTGCAAAATATATCTAACAAGTATTCGAAGCTCTGCTGATGACAACCTGTTAACAGAAGCACAACCTTCAGTTCTAGATGGTGTAGCTATCAACTAAACATTCTGAAATAGATTAAGTAACAGATATCAGTTGGATACATGAGCCAAGTATCTACCTGTATGCCCCAAGCACTTCAACAATCTGCAATGCATGGGAAACTAATGGTGATGATCTCATCATAAATGGTCTGACTGTCTCCAGAAGAAGTCCTACACAACCTACATACATGAAACTAGAAAATTATGAGAGGATTACTTAAAACAAAGGAAACTAAACGGAAACAAAAAAAAAAAAAACATTCGCACCTACAGATGTCAGATTTTCCTGATTGAAGGGACCAGCATGAGCAAGCTTTTTAATGAAGCTTAGAAGTTCTAGCTGTGCCTTTGGAGTAAAGAGTAGCAAAGACCTGATGAGAACTCCTATGGCACCAGCATTATACACCCGTTCCTTCTCAGGACTAAAAGAACCTGGCAAAACACTTAAAAGAAAACTAGCTGATCCAGCTTCAATCATTTCAGATGATGGAGCATTCTCTGACATTAAGCCAGAGTATGGTGGAAGCACAATCTCAAGAGCAAGTTCTAGAAGCAATTGGATTATTTGTCTTTCACAATCCACGCATAGCAAACCAGACTCAGTCAAAAGATCATAAAAGGTTTGAGAAGATATAACAACATGTAGCCTTGTCCTGTTGATAGCATTACCACACACTCCAGCTGTCACAGCTCGCAGTAAAAATGTAAAAACCTTCATGTGAGCCAGTAAAGAAGATTGGCCATTTGTCTGTTCACCATCACTCTGGAAACTATGGAGTGTAGTTAGTAGAAGAGAAAATCCAGTAGCTTCACCAAAGACCCTTTGAGCTGAATTATTTACTCCCAAGATGCGCCACAAAGCTCCCAAAGTATCACATTTTGCATCATCTTGAAGCTTAAACTGGGATCCAGATACACTTGTAACCATCCCACTTTTTAAAACATCAACCAGTGCACCTAATTCTTCTGGATGAGCCTAGTAAACAAAAGATTATTTGTTAATGGCAGAAATTGATCTGTCCAAAAAAATCTAAAGATACCATACATAGTTGTATATATGCAATAATGCAAAAATGCATGTAAGTGTGTGCATTCTGCAGTTTACAGAATATATTTGAGATAGAGGAAAAACTCCATAAATTAGTAATGTTTATGTGCCCTCACCCAGAAAAAAGATTAATAAAATCAATGCTCTCAATTCTAGGACAGATTAAATAAGAAAACTGATTAGAATGCATAAACTCAATGGATATAATTTCAACTCACTGGAATTATAAAACAGCAAGCAATATAACATAATAACAATAACCAAACAAGATAATATCTTGAGAACTCCTGTGCGGTCAATATCAGATACTAAAAATGGGAGAACAGTCAGACCATGAGATAATCACAAACCTGTGTAACATCTTCAATAATTAAACAGGATAATATCCGGAGAACTCCTGAACGGTGAATATCAGATACTAAAAATGGGAGAACAATTGTCACACCATGAGATAATCGGAATGGTGACTGACTGGCTTCGGCTTTCTTCAATAGAGAGACCATACAATCCCAAGCAACAGTAATTGTACTCTCAGTTTCGAAAAGTGAGAACTCTCCAGGACAGGATTCCATTAGTTTGGGAGAGGAAATGATAGCATCCTTACTGTCCATGTGTTTCTTGAAGCTGCTTGAGCTGGACTTCCTCTCCAGTTGATTGGGGCTTCTATTATTCTGATCTGAGCCAGAAAAAAGTTTGTGTTGTTTCAGGTCATCTATGAGAACTTCCAGAACACCAACTTCTCGCAGAACTTTCTTATACTGCTGATCAAATGATAATAATTTTACAAAGAAAGAAAGAATAGTATGTTTTAACTCAGATGTTATTGGTTGCTGCAATAAGCAGCAAAGTGAAAGCAATTCTTGTTCAGGAACACAATTAACAACAGTAACAGCATATTCCAGAATCTTCAGAATTATCTCCTGCAATGATGAAGGAAAGCCTGCCATATTTAGGATGAAAAGAGGCACTGTCCGTAATTGCTGGCACAACTTGTAGTTCTCAAGGTGACTTGAAAATATCTTAAACATTCTACTCAAAACCTCTGCTTGCAGTTCTATGCTATTAGCTTTGAGGAAAATATCCTGCAACATTTGGATTGCTTCAAGATCTTTAACTTTAGTATTAGCCTTCTCCCAAATTTCTTCACTGAGTTGATCAGAAGATGAAGTATGACTTTTTCCATGGCCACTTGCCTTGCCATGAGAAGACTTGGAGCCTTTTCCAACTGATACAGTGGGTTCAGCTGGACCAGTTTGAGCTAAATTGACAATAACATCAAGCAACCGGGAAAGCGATGGAGAAAGCTGCTGTTGTGAGGTTTCCCCACCTTTACCTGTTGAATCTTGTCTTCCTACAATGTAAGATGTACCATTACCATCTGAAACAAAACTTTCCTCGGAAGAGCAGGTTGAATAATTAGATTCAGTGCCCTGATCTCTCTGCAAGGTAGAAAGAATCAAAGCAAACTGAACAAGAAACTGATATCCATGGGCATTATGTATATCCTCCCTGAGCCTGATCCCACCAGCCTCTACAAATCAACGTAAATAGTGTCACATCAAAACTAGTTAAAACAAGCACAACTTTTATAAAGCACTGGAGTCAACCAGAAATTTCGCAGCAGTAAATAGTTTATGACAGCACATAAGGACATGCTGCTATCATTCTCTACTTCTTAGAAAAAGAGAATATTTTTCCCAAAGAAGAGAAGGAAAGTTGCTAGCACTTACCAGATCTGTATGACAATTCCACACATTCAAGTAACAAGTCTACAATTCCCATGGTGTATGCAGAGTCACCACTTTCAGGATTAAAATCCTTGACAGCCATTAAAAGAACTTTTATCTGGTCATAACACCTTAAATCATCAGGTGAGATGTATTTGGAATTAACAAAGAAATGGCACAAGTCAAGTTTGAAACTACAGTCCAAAATTAGACCCCTCAACAAGGAATCAAAAGACAATAAATTGGAATAAACCTGTAAATAAATACATATGAGCATACCAGATGATGTTTACGTATGTACTTTGATGTGCTTCCATTGTCATTAACCAAAAGAAGACCAAGTATCTGTGAGAAAATCAAAGCATAATGAAAAATGAAATACAAAACACTGAAAATTATATGAAAAATGAACTAGATCTACAACAGCCTTCTTTGATTTTCCCAGAATGAACTAGATCTACAACAGCCTTTTTTTTTGATAAGTTATAACAGCCTTCTTTCACAGAATAAAAAATAAAAAGAACATTGTTATGAATATATAACCACCTGCATGGCATGTCGATGAAGTTGAATGGTGTGCAAGGGAATAAGGCCCTCTTTAAATCGAGAAAAAACAGTCAAAGAGCCAGTAGCAACCATCTGAAACAGTAATTGAAGCGAATCATCCTCAATTAAACTCTGTGCAGCTGAAGGATGGCTGGCCAATGCTTTCATAATATGCACAATAGTTCCCTCTATCTGCATGATCATTGACCCAGTAAATAAGCAAATCAAAGTTATCTTACTTTATGGTTAGTATTACTTTTTTAGAACCATTTGAGTGACACTTAAAATCTCTTAAATTCCATGTACTCCAACTACAATTTATTAGCACCTTGTTGCATTGCGTGGTCATTGTGACACCCAATGTTAGTGTTACCCGCTTGGGCATGACAACTTGAACCCCAAGGAATGTCGTTTTACATTATTCAATATGAACCCCGTGGCATTTTCCTTGAGATTTGCCTTGAGGAGAACTGCATGGCATCAGCCCCATACACCTTTCAAAACATTGATCCTACCCATCAGCTTTAATTTGGTTCTTAAACCCTTCTAAACCTTTTACCTGGGCCTGCTAACCCATCTACAGTTGAATCTGCACCACACTAAAATGTGGATATGTGAAGAAGTGTATTATTGCTTAAACATCCTATTGAATTTTGTTCAGGAGAATGTATAATTACCATGACCAGGTTAGAAGAATGCAATGCCACAAGTTTGACCATAAGAATTGGTACATAATTAGACACTTGAGATTAAATACCTAACAAGAATCTAACAGAGTAACCTGTATCCATCTTCTATAATGCAAGCAGACAAGAAAGAAAGCTACCTCAAGCCTACGAACATGTGTGACATCCTCCCCATCATGGCCTTTTGCAACTGACCTTGATTCTTCTGAGTTGGATGCTATTTTCCTTTGGCTCGCCTCATCCAGGCTAAGAAGTGCATTGAGAATATGAATAAGACAGCACAGTATCCCAGAATCAAGGAGAGATTGTTTGTCAATGGTCTGTGGACATACAGAAAAGAAAAAAAGAGAGATTCTTTCAAAAATTGAATGAAATATAACATATAATATGTTTATAGGCTTATCCTTTCTATACCTAAAGTCACCCCACTCATTAAGCCTAAAGCACAAAAGAGCGACAAACAGATGTAAATGCAACATGTCAAGTTACTAGAAAGTTATTGCCTCAATAACTTTTTTAATCAGCTACTACCTAGATAAGTTAAGTCATTTTACTCTCTGAATTGTAACTTTTTCAGAGAATAAAAAAACAAATGTCTTCCATAAACAAAGCTCAGAAATCTCTTTTGTGAATGGGAAACCTACAATAACAATAAGTTGTTAAAAAAACCTCAAACCTGTTCTTGTCAACTGACTTCAGTCAAAAAGAAACAGAATGTAATTCTTCACTCATTCTAAGGTCTAATTGGAGGCATCTAACTGTCATAGTTTACCAACCAAAAAAATGGCCTATCTTACAATTATATAGCAATAGAATGGCATCTCTATATCATTCAAAGATCTCAATTTTCATACAGGAGCACTCAGTTCTAGACAGTTCATAACCACCATGAAACACTAAACTTTATCACATCAAGTCATCAAGCAGTAAGTTGGTTATGCTTGGACCATTCCAATAACAACAGAAGAATAACTTTTTCAAAATTACTATTTCTACAAACAAAGACAGAAATGAATGAAAGTGATTAAATATGTTTGTCAATTTGACAGAGATTATAGGTACCCCAGATACAAGGACTTCAACTGCATGTAACAAATTTGAACCGGGACAAATGTCATCCTGCACAGAAACAATAAATTAGATCAATTCAAGCACTTCACATTACATGAAACTACATACAAGAAAGTGTTACAGGAAATTGGAGAAAACAAGATAAAAGCATCTAAAAAGACACACCTTTGTGACTTCTGAGAAAAACCTCAAGACTGTCCCAACATCCAATGATCTTGTCTTGTTACTGATTTTCAATTTCTCAATATCTGTTACAAATGCTCTTCCCACAACAAAAGAGAATATGTGTGTTTCAACTAATCTGCAAGTCATTAGCAGTTTAAAATTCAGTTAACAAGATTCACTCAGAAAAAGTCATAAATATTCAGAAAAATCTACACACACACACACACACTAAAACACGTTATATATCATGATAAGGCTTTTCCATATGGGGCTATCACTTAGTGTAATGGTAAAATCTCTGGCTGGCAAGTGTGAGAACATGTTTGAGTCTGAGAGTGGCCACTTTGTGCAAAAAGAAAAAGAGCCAAAGGTTAGGACTGCTGACTGTGCCCAGCCTACCCCTCCCAAGACCCCAGGTAGCTGGGACCAACATTGGGTAATGGCATTTTTATAAGCCAAAATCCTGAACTTTTGAGCACATTTACATAAGCAACATGGCCCAGATAAGGCAAATTTCTCAAAAATATTGCATAATATGGAACAACAGGTAAAAGAATTAGGTAAAGAAAGATGCATACATGCTAACTAATTGAGCTATATTTGTGTATTGTTTCGCTAATCTACAGAAAACATATACAGCCATGTTCAGTGCCACTTCTTTCTCCTGCATGGAAGATTTACAGCAATTAGCACCCATAATGTTTGTGAAAATGGCATATATAAAAAGAAAAAAATAAATAAACCTCAAATATCAAAATAACAGCAAACCTTTTCCGAGCTGGATGATCTGAACTCTTCCCAGAATCTCTTGAAGTCTGACTCCAGTTCATGCTTGTCTCTGTGATCACAAACACATTTTACAAGTGCCTGTTAACGTAACACATTTGAAAAGAATGTTTGAGCAGAACAAAAGTTGGATTTATTTATAACTAATCTGATATTGAAATGAAGTAAAATCAATCTGAAGTTTTTTTTTTTTTTGATAACTAACAAAAACTTTCATTACGAGATATTAAGAGAAAAAGATACAAGAGGAGGGGTAAAATCTCTTAACCCTCCCTAAATCAATCTGAAATATTGACAGGGATATTAAGACAAGGAAATGAGCAAGCTTTGTATAAATAATTTAAGAACCATCAAAAGATTTGTGAAGTTTGACCTCAAAGATATGTAACACTAGATAATAGAATGAATAACCGATGTACAAATTACCCAGAAAGAAATAATGGAAAATGATGGCATAATGCACAAAAAAGAGCATATCCTTCTGTAAATACCCATGTCAGGCTATAAAGAAACAAAATCAACAAATATTTTATTATATGTAACACAAGAAAGGGCAAACACAAAAAAAAATAAAAAAAAAAAAAGTGTACTGATAAGGACCTCTTTCTCTACTAATGATGTGTAAGGAATTGGCAAAAATTGGCTGTTTCATCCTCATCAAGGGTAGCAATATCTAGATCTTGGACCACCCTGGTATCCTAGCAAACCTAGAACCTTCAGGGATTTGATGCATCTTTAGAGATACAAGGATAACATATTAACCATTTTTTTCTGGCTCGATAGGAAATAGTGACTACTAGAGCAGAACTGATGGCTTATTTGCAAGGGCTAAGGTTGGGAAAGCACGGCCATAGCTGTACTACAGCAATCTAGTGATAGAAGGGGACTCCAAAGTTGCAATGGAATAGTTTAAATATAATGAAAAAGGGGTCATGAACTCACAGGTATGATACAAGGGAGGCAAAAAGACTAGTTGAGGAGCTGAGGGCGACTTTCATGTGGACACATAGATCAGCCAATGCTTTTCCAGGCAGACTGCCATCGCTAGGAGTAAATAGAAGTCAAATTTTGCGGGGGATGGTTACTCAAGGGAAATATGTAAATTGTTAAACGATAACAATCAAAAAGGAGGCTACCAGACCAGGAAAACTAGAGACAAACCAAATGTATTTATGTAGGGGATGGGTAGCAAGAATTAGCTTAAGTCTGGGGTGCTTGGCACCTTAGGTCTGTACTATATCAAAATTCTTTTATTCAAATTTATAAAGTTTCAACTATTACAAATATTACCAATCAAAAAGAAATATAGGAGCACATGCACACCACCCCCATCCTGGAAAATAAGGAAAGGATTTTTGGGGGGGAAAAGTTAAAAACTTGATAATTAACTGACCTTCTAACCTTGTCAGGGACTACTAACCAAAGAGTTGTCATTATTCCTTCTGCAGTAAGTCCTAAGAAAACATTATAGAGCTAACCTATAAAGGGAACATCAGCTCTCCCAATTCCAACTATTTGGAATCCTGTCCCACCATTGCCCCCTATCAAGATCTTTTCTGTCAAATTGTAAGTTTTTTCTTTACCAGCAACTATAAGTACTTTTTTTTTTGAAAAAAGTTAACTTTATTCAATAAAGGGAAGGTACATGAGGAGATGTACACAGAGATCAAACACTCAAAGAGTTATATAGGCAGAAAACTATCACTAAATAAGTAATCCCTGTGAGCACCAGATTTTATTTGGTCAAAATAAGTAATCCCAGAGTTATACAGTAACTGTAAGTACTTACATCTTTCCTATTCAACCCACATTTTCTTTGGTCTTCCTCTCAATGTTTTAAAACGTGGAAGCGTGACGCGAGGCATGCCACTACCTAGAGGTGTGAGGCTTAGTTCAGAACGTAAGAGGCGTAAGCCTCCTTAAGAGGAGAGGAATAAAAATCTCATTTTTCCTTAACTTCAATAAAAATCTCTTATATTAAGAAAAATGAAGATGCATAGCACTAGTTGAAAGGGGGGCTGGGGGGGTCTTGGGGACGAAGCCCCCCAGCCAAGGGAAACCCCCGGCCCACTTTCTTTCCCCTTATCTTCCCTTCCCTTCCCTTTCCTTTTCCTTTCTTTCTTTTTCTTCTGCTTCCCTTTCTTTTCCTTTTCTTTCTTTTTCTTTTCTTCTTTCTTTTTTCTTTTTTTGTCTTTCCTTTTCTCTTTCCTTTCTTTTTCTTTTCTTCTTTCTTTTTTCTTTTTTTGTCTTTTTACAAGAGGTATGCATGAGGCACATGAGGCGCACGCCTCTAGCATGCCTCATGGAAAAAACGTATGAGGCGTACGCCTCAAAGGTGTCAATGCCTCTGGCATACGCCTCAAGGCGTTTTGGGGGTGCCTCGCCTGGAGGTTGCCTCCAGGCGTACACCTCCCACACCTTTTAAAACACTGCTTCCTCTTGCTCTTTCAGTGCCTTCTACCAATACCAAAACACTTCTTTTAATAGGTAAAACCATTGGCTGTCATAGTTGTCGAGGCATCACCTAAATGCCTGCCTAAACATCAAAAGGCAACTAGACACCCTTGACTGGGTGCCTTGCCTAAACGCCTTGACTTATGGCAACTAGGCGCCCAAATAAGCAACAAGGCACCTACCTAGGTGCCAAAAAGGACAAGGTAAGAACATTATTATAGTATCATTTATATTACTATATATTACTAATATGCATGCCAATAGCCTAATACATTCTATTATATACTATATATGTCATTTATCTGTTGTTTGAAAGTTTTACTATTCAAATTTAAAAGATCCAAGGGTTTTACAAAGAGAAAAGGAAATAAGGAATATATATATATATATATATATAAAAAACAGCAGCTCTACCCTTGTTCCTTTTCTCTTTTACATTCTATCTTAAATTTTATCATGTAAAATTATAGCCTTCTTTATTAGCTTCTTTGATATGAAACTGTCTTATTATATTAGTGTTGTTTTTGAAATTATAGAAATTAATATATTTTAATACTATTGTCCTACATATGATGATTTGCCATTTTTTTTATAAATGAATGGTATTTTATTCAAAGGAAACAAAGTGATGTTACAATACAGACTGCCCGAGGAGAGGCACGAGCTAGATGATGATTTGCCATGTTTTGAGAGGACTTATAATGTTCTTAACAAAGAGAACTGTCATTTTTCAGTTAATATTCATGCTGAATGGTATATAAAACTAGGGAATTAAACAAATTTTAGTTTTTTTTTTTTTGATAAATAACAAATTTTAGTTTTTTTTATGAAATTCTTATCAACTATGCACCGCCTACGCCTAGGTACCCCACTGTCACCCAGAATGGCCTAGATGCCTTGACTACTATGTTGGTTGTCTATGCACATAACCAAACCTTCTCAGTAAACTATCTGTCAAGATGGAAAATGCTTGGTTTGAAGAAAAGGAGTTGATTCCTCTGCTTATATCAAAATGGGCGGATTTTAAGGTGGAGGTACCAGCTCTTACATCTTGGCAAATAAGATTAAAGGGATCAAAGAGGTGCTGAAATCTTGGAAAGTGAATCATCAAGGAAAAACAGAAGTGGAAAAAAGAAAGTGCCTAGAGGTAATTAAAGGACTGGATTCAGCTGAAGAAGTGGGTCCCATTAGAGAGGAAGATAGAAGGAAGAGACTGCTAGCAAAAGTGACTCTAGATTCATTAGCCTACAAGGAGGAATTAAAGTGGAGGCAAAGAGCCAAAGTTAAATGGCTTAAAGTGGGAGATAAAAACTCCAGTTTTTTTTCACAAAATGGTAAAAGCAAGGAAAAGAGTAAATCAAATTGAGAAACTTGAATGGGGAGAGAAAGTGGGTGAAAACTGGACAGAAATGAAGCACATTGTCACGGGTTTTTTCTCAGAGTTGTTTAAAGAAAACTGGGCAAGAAAGCCCTTTCCAGAATAGCTTACTTTCAAAAGTCTATCAGTGGATCAGCAGAGGGAGTTAGAAGCGCCCTTCACAGAAAATGAGATATGGCAGGTAATTAATAATATGAGGACTGAAAAATCCCCAGGGCCAGATCGTTTGACAAAGATTTTCTATAAACAGTGCTGGGAGGGGGTGAAAGGAGATCTATTGAAGGTGTTCCATGAATTTCACCAAAATGGATCATTGGTTAGAAGTCTGAACAGCACTTTCATCTCCCTTATTCCTAAGGTGGAAGGTGCAACAAACATKAAAGRYTTCAGGCCAATTAGTCTMCTAAACAGTTTTTATAAAATTCTATCCAAAGTCCTTGCAGAAAGAATGAAGAAGGTTCTTAGTGTGGTTGAGGATAACCAGTTTGCGTTCGTACCGGGTAGGCAGTTGTTGGATAGTGTGTTGGTGGCCAATGAGTTGATTGACTCAAGAATAAGAGAAGGTAAACCAGGGCTAATTTGTAAGCTGGACTTGGAAAAGGCATATGATCATGTAAATTGGAAGTGTTTGGATTTGGTGCTAGAGAAAATGAAGTTCGGACAGAAGTGGAAAAATTGGATTAAGGTGTGTATTTCCTCTCCAAAATTCTCAGTTTTGCTTAATGGGCACTCCATGGGATTCTTTAAAAGTTCAAGAGGATTAAGACAAGGGGATCCCCTCTCCCCTCTTCTGTTTATATGCATAATGGAAGTTCTAACTCTATTTGTGCAGAAGGTGGGGGTTGAGGGTCTATGGAAGGGTTTTGAGGTCTCTCTGGGTGGGGAAAGTGTTCAGATGCTGCAGTTCGCCAATGATACTCTGTGTTTCATTGATGCAGACGTTGATCAGCTGAAGATTCTCTTGGGGGTGCTTAGTTGGTTTGAAGTGGTTTCGGGACTGAGAGTAAATTGCACCAAAAGTAGATTGATTCTGGTTGATAAAGTGGAGAATCTCGCAGAGCTTGCAGAGATTTTACCTGGTCAGATTGGATACTTGCCTATCTCCTATCTTGGCCTTCCTCTTGGAGCTAAATGCACCTCTACGGTGGTGTGGGGTCCGGTGGTTGAGAGAGTGGAGAGGAAGCTTATGTCTTGGAAATCCAAGTACCTGTCACTGGGGGCAGAATCACATTACTAAAAAGCTCCCTTTCTAATCTTCCGGCCTGCTTTCTATCTCTTTTCCCAATTCCAGTCAAGTTGCCCAAAGAATTGAGAAAATCCAAAGAGATTTTCTTTGGAGGGGCTGGGAGGAGGAAAAGAAATGTCATCTGGTTAACTGGGACCAGGTATGTTGCCCTAAGGAGAAAGGGGGCTGGGAATCAGGAAGCTTAAGTTGTTTAATAAAGCTCTCTTGGGAAAATGGATTTGGAGATTTGAGAAAGAAAAAGACAGATGGTGGAGGAAATTAATTGCAGCAAAATATGAGACTGACGGTGGGAACTGGGTAACCACTAATCAATTGAATTCTTTAGGTTGCTCACTGTGGAAAAAATTCATGGAAGTTCTACCTTGGATGAGTAGTGGTCTAACTCCAAAAGTGGGGAATGGGAATAGGTTGTGTTTCTGGAGGGATACTTGGTGTGAAAGTACACCCCTGGCTGAAGTATTCCCTCAGTTGTTTCAGATTGCGGAAAATCAGAATGGATCGGTGCCCAGTCAATTTGAAGTGAGTGGGGACACTATTATTTGGAGCCCTTCTTTTAGAAGGTCATTACAGGACTGGGAAATTGGGAAAGTTGCAGATCTCTTGGGGCGGCTTCACAGGCAGTCCATTGACTTGTCGTTTGAGGACTCTTGGATCTGGAAGTTTAGTGTGGATGGTAGTTTCTCGGTTAGCTCTTTTGTGGAGGTTCTAAATGAAGTTGTGTATCCTAAAATTCCAGTGGTGAAAATTTGGAACCCTTCTGTGCCTTCTAAAGTGAATGCTTTGGTTTGGGCTGCGTCTCTCAACAGATGCCTTACGAAAGACTCCCTGGTTAGAAGGGGTGTTCAGATTCAGGACCAGCTGTGTGTTCTTTGTGGAGATATGGAGGAGAATGGCAGGCACCTATTCATTCACTGTTCGATTACAGCTGCAATATGGAATCACTTTTTATCGGGGGTAGAGCTGCAATGGTGTATGCCTAATTCAGTTCTGGACATGATATGGAGTTGGGAGCTGAAGGGTGGTTCAAAATTGGCGAAGTGCATTTGGAGTGTCATGCCTGCAGCCATCTTATGCACAGTCTGGATGGAAAGAAACAGAAGGATCTTTCAGAATAAGGCCGCTAGCATAGATTGCTTGATTGCCTTTGCATTTGGAAAGATAGTTTCCTGGGTGGTGGCGGCAAAGGACATTCAGGCTTTTGTCCTTTGTTCTCAGCTGAGATCTAGGATTTTTCTTGAGTTATGATGTATTGTAGGTGTTAAAGTGAGTTTTGTTGGCTCTTTGCCTTAGAGGCCTGGGTTGTAATCTGCCACTTTTGGCTATTTGAATAAAATTTTACCTTATCTTTTTCAAAAAAAAAAAAAAAAAAAAACCTTCTCAGTCAACTTTCCTTCACATTGTTGCCAAGATGTTCCTTCTGTGCATGCTCCTTTGTAGTCTTGCCCATCCATCACAACCATACTCATTTGTTGGACATGTTGTTTCTTGATTTGCCCACCACCTGTTTTTTTCTCACTAAGCAAGAGAAGAACACCACACTGAGGCCAAAAAAAAAGTAAAACAGAAACCTCTTACTTATTACAGCCCAGTCCTGCACAACCCCATTCCAAGCATTCTTTCTCTACTCCATTTATTCCAATGAGTCAGCTAGCGTATTAGCACTCCTAGGTGTCTAATAAAATTTTCCTTTGTCCCATATAATGATATAAACATGGCTGGTCTTATAGCTGTCTAATAAAGTTTTCCTTTTAGTCTCATTGACATATTCCAGTCTCACAACACATCAGATGCACCTCTCTAGTTCAATCAACCCACTCTAATTCTAAGGGCAATCACCTTCACTTTTTCTCTCATTGACTGATCCAAGGTACCAGAAATAGTTAGTTTGGGCTATCTCATTATCATCAATCTTATTTATACATTTGCACCTCCACTTTTACCATGATTTCAAATATTGCAATACATGTATTCTTTCTTAGCCCAAGTTCCATGAATAACAACAAAATTAACAAACTTACACAAGCACTATCCACGTTATAAAAGAAAGTGAAATGAAAAACACAGATTTGTATATTTTACACGTATTAGTAAATCAAAAGTGAAAAACTAAGATCATTTGGTGTTGCCACTGACTTTTACAAAAAACTAAGCAAACCTACAGTACTAATATTAACTAAATAACTAATACAAAGAATATGAAAACCACAGAAGTACATAAATAGATTGAATATCAAATATTTGTAATATAACTAGTATCCATTCTATTCAATCATGTGATTTGCATAATTAACAGGGTCTATGCAGTATTAGAAACCTAATAATGCCTACCTGGCTTTAAGAAGTTCAAATAGTAAGAATTACCACTCATTTGGATTGAAAAATCTTGAATATCATCTTTATCTTTTCAATTGATTACTTGCAATATTATCATTTCTATACAACTATTCAGAATAGTCTTCAAAAAAAAATCTTTTTGATTAATAAAGTTCTCAAATCACTTTCTGCTACTTTAAAATCCAATACTGCAAGCTCCAAAGAGCTATTTGCCATGGCTTTAAAATCCACCTCTGCACTTCAACAAGCTCCAAAGAGATATAGTATAATAAAGGAAGGATAAAGTTACTTTAACATAACAATAGATAATACAATCACATAACGATCTCAGATTTTATTCTCTTCTCAATCTAGCACCATCCCTTGAGCTAAACTTGGGGAGTTCAAAATTTATGATTACCGTCTATTCTCATGTAGCATCAAATTTGGAAAGGGGAAGTCAGTTTTTTTTGTTCAAAACCTAGTAAAGTTTGTGTCCAAGGTCAGTCAACCGTACAAAATTAACCTTCCCATTGCTTACATTCTCCGAGAAATAAACCAAGGAATAAGCAATGCGCTTGTAAGTTTGTATTTAATTAAGTCTTTAGTCTTCACAGAGACGAAGATGAGATGCAAAAAAAAAGTCGAACCTTCCAGGAGACGAGGACGATGAAACGAGTTCATGTTTGGCCGACGGTACAGCTCCTCCACTGTCAGTAGCTGCGGTTGAAGACGAAGATGCAGAAGGATATTGCGATAGCCCAACTTTCTCTTTGAAGTCCTTAAGCAATGTAACCCATTTCATCGTTTTCCGAGATGATTGAAACATGTGAAGTTGTCATCCAAGGAAGGTCGTCATCCGATACATCCCCACTTCCAATAAGCGCCGTAGATCCCGACCTACCAGCACGATCCAGAACGATCTCAGAGCTCCATATATTACCCCAATTTCTTCACTAAAAAATCCCAAACAGTACACTGAAATAGATTAATCCGAGTTCTTGAAGAACAGATCGAACTGATCCCGTCCAAATGGATCAAAGATTAAGAGAAGCAAGATCTACTTTCTCGTGTTTTGCTACTCTAACATTTTTCTTCTTCAGCTGCCTTTTTTTCCAAATTTCTTTTATTTTTCTTACTGAAAAGAAGATTTTTGCTAACAAAACGCGACTTCCGTTGAGAAAGAAAGGTGAAGGGGAGAGAGAGAGGGGGAGAGAGAGGCAGCGCTGCCAATTTTCGGACGATCCCCCGCGCCTTGTTTCACGATTCTATATCTCCTTTCAACTCCTTTGCCACGTCAGGGTGGGATCCACGACTTAAAATTTCCACGTGGCATTTCGTAACTAAAGGAAGTTGACGTGTGAACCCCTCTCTTTTTTAACCTTGCTTTACTTCTTTGTTATGGAAGTTAACAAGAGAAGTTCGTTTGTGGGCTTTTGATCCGTTTCGCCGCTGGTCTTGTCTTTCTCATTACACATTAGTCATTCCCTGACTCCCTGTAAACCATTTTCATCTCCGCTGTTTTTTTCCTTTCAACACGAGAACATCCGGATCAGACCGGATGAACCGGAGTACGCCGTGCTAATCAAACTGACTACACCGGTCCGAGCAGCAAGACACGAATTCAGTAAGATTTCACCCCCTGAATTCATTCGCAGTCTCCGGAGAACTCCGAGACCTGTGTGTAATGCCTAGTCAAGTCCTGGAATGCTAATGCCATACTTAGAAGTTTGAAAGAGAAAGAAAAAATTAACTACGTGGGACCTAAGTTTGAACTCCTCCAAATAGCAACTTGATCAATTAAAAAAATTTCAGTATTTTTAGGATAAATATATTTTCGGAATTAAATTAATGGTTAAAAATTCTTTTTTAGAAAGCGATTCTAAATAAATCAAGTGGTGAAAATAGACTTAGATATTGACCAAGCACAAAAAATTTTAAATAAAGTATCATTAAATATTGGCAATCACAATGGAAATATTAATTATATGTTATTCTTTTTTTTTCGAACAAATAATCGTTATTCAATACTTGTTACTCAAGACTTGGTCATGGAATGGTGGCCGAGATATATGTTTTGTATTGCTCAGGGAATAGTCATAAAATGTTCAATAGTTCGTGTTAAGTAGTTTTTATTTTTATAAAGTCCGTTGTGACTTGTGACTGAGTCCTTGGGGTAATCTAATTTATAAATAAATAAGGCTATGTTTGATTTGAAGGAAAAGGTAGGGAAATGTAGGGAAATGCAAGGAAAAGAAGGGAAAAAAAGGGCAATTGATGGTACGCGATCTGGAAGCTCCTAGCTGGAAGACTATTTGGAGGCTAGTCATGTAGTGAATTGGCTCGAACTGCAAGGAAATGAATCAGAGAACCCGGGGTGGCTAACCTGGCGAGGTCGCTCCGATGGTTAAGTTAGTATTGTGATCTTGGTATCAAGCTGAAAGCTTAAGTATAAGGGAGCTAGTGAGCAAGTAATCACACGTACCTTGTGCTAGGGGATTCAAAGTCCTTATATAGTTGAACTGTCATGAGCCCGGAGGAACCTCTCCGGGATCTTCAGGGTGAGCAATAGGAGTCTGTTCCATTTCAGATGGTGGTTAACGTGCTAGCTGATAAGGCTTATCGCTTCCATCCGATTCAGGTGGGATGAGGATAAGTCTCATAGTAATGCGGTATAATCCCGAAAGGCCTAGGGATAGCTAGCAAGCTTCTAGAATCCACCGTGTTCCACCTCGGCACATGCAGCTACCGAGGTCCCCTGACTCTAATTCTGTCTGAGGTGACTAAGGTGTCCAAAGTGGCCCAGAGTGTCGAGGTGGCGAGAGGTGTCGAGTCATAGCCTGGCTAGAAGGTCATGTCCATGTGTCTTCTATTCATTAGGTTGGGCCAAATCACCCCTTATCAATTGCCCCCCACTCCCCATGCTAGGGGTCCCGACCCGGTGTGGGGAGTTCATGACAAGGCTAGGTGGAATTGGCCCGAATTCTATCGGTTGGAAGAGTGGTTCTTTGGTCAGACCAGACTGACTCGCTTGGCTCGACTGGGATAACCTAGATCGTGTACCAGGGACGCACGGACGTCACGCGGCTTATGAACTCTGCAGATGCCAGAGCACGCGCTCAATTGGTTTTAATCTCGATAGGCGTGCAGCTGATATCCACGAGAGTCGTTGGATCGCCCAAGATCTCGACCGTTGAACCCCAGACAATACGGCTATAAATAGGGGCACAGAGGGGCCCATTTTTCTCACCACACATCGCGTATCCAAATTCTTAGGTCATGCATCTGTCTCCAGGTCGGTGCCACCTACTCCTATTTTGTCGAGGTCGCTCCAATCTCCACTTCGGTTCTTAGGTGAGTTTGTTTTGTCTTCGATCTTCATTTCTTGTTTGCCTTTTCCAAGTAGTTCGCAATGTCTAGTATTAGCACTGGCAACCTATTTGACTTGAGTGAGGAGTCTGCCGGAGCCGAGGTGGGGACCTTGGCGCAGGCTGAAGAGTCTCAACCCGCTAAGGTGAATGCCTTAGTGTGGAGTTCAGACTCCAACCCGTCCAAGGCGGGCATAACTCTACAAGAACGCGAGGCTTCTAGTAAGGGGGCCTCCACTTCGTGCCAGACTCGGGGTTCGGACAGTTTCGGTCCTTCCATGATGATCGCCGATAGACTCCTGTCCCTGGTAGCTTGCTACAAGCTCCCTGACGACCTTGTCTATAGTATCCCCTTAGGAAGGTTTCCTTAGAACCACGGTTGCGACAAGATCGTGGTGTTCGAGGAGCAGCTTGTGGCTGGATTGCATTTCCCACTTCACCCCTTTATCATCGAGGTCGTCAAATTTTTTGACATCGTCATAGATCAGCTCCACCTGAACTCGATCCGCAACATTATAGGTACCATCTCCCTTTTTCATGACTATAACCGACCCTTGACCCTCGACATTTTTTCTTCAATTTGTTCTATAAAAATAACTCCGCCTGTGTCTCCCCGACCAGGTTACAAAATTTTGCACAACTTCCCAAACAAAGTCCCGGCCTGGAAGAAGCGCTACTTCATAGTTTGTAACATTGTGGGTGGCCATTTCCAACTCACTAAAGGCCCACCATTCAAGACCCTAGCATCAAGTTGGACAAGGCAACATAGGAGGAAGTCCGTTCTTGGGCGAAGCTTGGGTTGAAGCTCGAAAACTTCGTGTCCGAAGAAAATCTCATACAAGTCGGGTTGAGTTCTCCTGGTAGGTCGCCACCTTGGTGCACACACTTATCACTTGGACTTGTCCTTAATCATTTTGTCTAACTCTATTGTTACTCTCCGCAGGTACTATGGAGGAAATCCCCGCTGGAAAACTCTTTGGGATCATGAAGAAGGGAAAGAAGAGGAGGGCATCCAAGAAGGCTCACCCCTAGGAGACTGTTGCCCAACCTTCCAAGGATGCTATCGTCACTGAGGATCCTCTGGTGATCAACCTGGTCGAAGAAGACCGGGGGAAGGATTCCCTGCCCGCCAATCCGAGGAGACCACGAGGTCCGAGCTCCAAGCAGCTCGTAGAGCCAGCTCGTCAGGAGAAGGCTCCGAAGCACCACCAAGCATCATGGACCCGAGATGCAACCTTCAGAAGAGCAAGGAAGTGATTTACGAGGCAGAGATCGCTAAGCTTTCTGAGCTCTCCATCGGTGAGCTCGAGTATAAGGCTACCAATCATTGCAAGGTGGTATGTGTCTGTACCTCGAACAAGGTTCTTCATTCTCCTTTAATATTTGGGGCTTATTTTCTCTTTTTTGGCAAGCAAACTCCATTATCCACGCTCTAGTTCGAAAGTCTAAGGTGCATCTGAAGTGGGCCTTGCAGGCTGAAGAATCCTTCAGGAGCATTTAGCGCGAATTGGACTTAGCTCGTGGTCAAATTCATAAGTTGGGGAAGGATGCACGAGCTCAAAAGGAGCTGATCATGCTACTGAGGGAAGAGAAGAAGAAGCTCAAGGAGGAGAGGGAGGCTCTCGAGAGGGAGAAGGAGAACCTCGAAGCACTCATGAAGGAGTGAACGAAGACCTTCGATGACGCGATCAAGGATGCCAAGGTCCAGGCCGTTAAGGAGTATAAGTCTTCGGAGGAGTAACGCAAATTACTGATCGAGACCGGTACAACGGCCACCGCAAGGGCTTCAAGCTTAGCAAGTGGCTGACACAGCGTGAGTTCCCCAAGCTCGACCTCAGTGCTATCACCATGTCCAAAGTCATCGAGGAGATGGCCGGGGAGGCTGCCAAGTACCCAGACTCTAAGGAGGAGAGGACCTCGGTGAAGAGACAACAGAGGATGGAGACAGAGATGCTGCTGTCGAGGACTGTATGGAGACTGACCAGCCTGCTGGAGTTACTGTTGGGGATGAGGAGCCCCACATCAATTGATGTTTATCTCCCTCTTTTCTTAGACCCCCCATACATATATAATGTCCCGAGCCTCCGAGCTCAGCTAAGTAGATGTAACTCTTTTTTTTTTGCTTGTACTTTGAACCCCTTTTCATTAATACAATGTAGTAGTTTCGAAAATCTTTGTTGTGCAAAATTTTTCCAAGTATGGATTACTCCCGAAGTGTCGAGCTGACGAGCTAGGCCCGAGTAGGAATAACCCAATCTTAATGTACGCCAAAGTGAACAAACACTGTAGGGTATATGCCCGACTTGCCTACACACGAGCTACTTTTTTATTTTCCCATGCTAAAGCGACTGGGTTCTTGGTTGCCTATGCCGAAGTGACTAGTTCTTAGGTTGCCCATGCCGGAGAGGCGACTAGGTCTTAGCATGCCTATGCCGAGCAGGCGACTATGACTTATCTACCCATGCCGAAGAGGCGACTAGAACTTATATTGTGCCAAGGTCTTTTGTCAGCTCGACACCATAGCCCTTAGGCTCTAGGAGTGACTTATAGTCCTTTCTCCAGCTCGATGTCCTTTTGACCAGCTCGGTGGTCTTGTGGACTTTATAATTTTTTTGGTCGTATTAGAGTCATGAGCTCATAGATAATACCTCCTTAGGTTGTCAACGTTCTAAGCTCGAGATACTTGTTTCCCTTCCATAGTCTCAAGATAATATGTGCCCTCTCCGAACACTCGTCTCACTCGGTACGAACCCTCCCAGTTCGGTCCAAGCTTACCTAGCTGGGCTCAAGTACCATTACCTTGCAGAGCATCAGGTCACCAACTCAAAACTATCGTCTTCTGACCCGGGCATTATAGTACCGAGCTACCCACTGTTGGTAGGCCGCAGTCT